GAGTTGGGCTGCTGCCTTCGGCTCAGGTCATGATCCCGGGGTCCTGGGATCGAGTCCCGCATCGGGCTCCTTGCTTGGCGGGGAGCCTGCCTCTCTCCACCTCTGCCTGCCTCTCTGCCTGCTTGTGTGCTTTCTCGCTCTCTTTCTGACAAATAAATAAATAAATAAAATCTTAAAAAGAAAAAAAAAAAAGAATCAAACCTACCGTCAAACAGACCCCCACTGATCGGATGTCTCCACCTGGCCTGACCCACCCTTGTATTTGGGCTTTGTTACCTGGGACTGGTTTCCCGGACTTGTTTTTAAGTAAGTTCCCCGGGGGGGGGGGGGGGGGGGGGGAGAGTCAATTTAAGTTTAACAACAAAGTGGCAGTTCAGCCGGGGTGGGCACCGCTCTGGTTGGATAGGCCCTTATGATGAAGTTCTTGAACCTAGGTGAGGTTCAGAGCCGACGGCTAAGAAAGAATTCTTAAGACGTCTTTGGTGCAAAAATGTGGTTTATTAGAGCACGGGGACAGGACCCATGGGCAGACGGAGATGCTGCGCCAGGCATGTGAGGAGTGGCTGGTTATGTACACAGGAGTTGGGTAGGTGAGGACAAAGGGGTGTTCAGAAGGGCTATTGGGGTAAAGAAGACTGTCAGGATATTGAAGGCCTGGTCACTTTCAAGCCAAGGCCGCTTTCCCTCTAATGAGGCACTAACATAAAGACAATTGGGAGTCTCCTGGTGGAATGTCACATTCCTGCTATCAAAGCGTCCTTGTTAGTGAGATTTAGGTTTAGAAGAAATTTAACTTTATTTACTTTTCCTTCTACCTCAGCGTCCTTCAGTTTTGTTTATGGAGGGGAGGGTGACATTAGGGCTTGAGGAACTGAGTTATGTGCCTCTGGAAATTGGGCTGTTGATAAGGTTAACTTCTTTGTTGTAAATCTCAAGTACATTTGTAAACCAAGGGAGACTCTGTCTTGCAGGATTGTGATCTCTGCAAGTTAACTATTTGTTTCTCGTTTATGGCAGTCAGGGGTGCCTGAGGAATGTGACACATATTAGCGAGGGGAGCGGGTGGAGAGGGGGTGCAAGGTGCCAGCTTTTGCTTTGTCCTCAGCCAGGCTCCTGCTCCCTCATCACTTACACATCCACCACACTGCCCCCGCTGCATGTTTACTGAATACCTTTAATATGCCCAGCCCTGCATAGGATCGTCCATAGAAGATCTAGAAGAAATGGTCTCTGCCCTTTAGAAGTATCATCTTTGAGCCCAAGACTAAAAAGCAAGAATGCCTCAGGGAAATTTATTCCATTACTGAGTACCCATTACACACCTATTATGAGCTGGACATTGTGATAACGGACCCAGGGTTTTCCGTGGAATCATTCCCCTTTCACCTGTGTCTTACTGACCTTCACAGCAGCACCAGTAAGGGGTAATAGCGGAATCCCATCTTACAGCTAGGGAGACTGCTGTAAAGACATGTTAAATTATGGGGCGCCTGGGTGGGTCAGTCGTTAACCGTCTGCCTTCCGCTCAGGTCAGGATCCCAGGGTCCAGGGAACCAGCCGCATCAAGCCCCACATTGAGCTCCTGCTCCAGAGGGAATCTGCTTCTTACTCTCTCAGTCAGAGTCTCTCTCTCTCTCTCTCTCTCTCTCTCTCTGGCGCACATGCGTCCTATCTCTCAAATGAATAAATATTTTAAAACCTTAAAAAAAATGTTAAATCGCTTGCCTAAGGTCACACAGCTTAGAGTAGAAGCACTGGGCTTTTCCTGGGTCTGTCTGACTCCAGAGCCACAGTTCCCACTGTGTCCCCGGCCTCTCTATTCTCCTGACATCAGGACAAAAGAGAATACGCTCACCCTTAATGGGACTACTGGCTAATACGGGAGAAGGCTTGCTTGCATCAGTCACCACAGCTTCTGATCACAGAGGCTGCGCACTCAGTCTGCATGGAGCAGGCAGTGTGGACCAAACCAATTCGGTGTAAGAACCTTACTTAGTACACTATAAGGCACCATAAAAATGCAGCTCCAAGGAACCAACTTTAACACAGTTTCTATAGGTCTTCCGTACAGTACATTCCATCCCCTTCCATCTCAGCCACCCATCTCGCACCATAACAACGTCCATGCGCAATACACAACAAACATATTTTCTTTCTTTTTTAAAAAGATTTATTCATTTATTTGAGAGAGAGAGAGACTCCGAGGGAGAGGGAGGGAGGATCCCAAGCAGACTCCACAGTGTGAGTGGAGTCCAACCCAGGACTCGATCTCACGACCCCCAGATCATGACCTAAACCGAGACCAAAAGAAGTCAGATGCTTAACTGACTGAGCCACCCAGCTGCCCCAATAAGAAGCCTATTTTCAAGAAAGAAGCAAGAAGCAAAAAGTTAACAGATCATCTGAAAGCAATAATCAGTTTTCCAGAACAAAACACCAGAATATATGGTTTGACAAATTCATATGTCCTTACAGGAACAATGGAATAACATATTTAAAATCACAGCATATTTAAAGTTTAAAAATCTCAAAAATGAGAACTCTATGGGGACCTATGGCTGTTATAAAGCTTGGACGATATAAACACACATCATTTATTTCTCTTGAAAGTAAAAAATGGCTCCAAAGTTTTTGAGAAAATAAGCACTGGTGGGTGTTGATTTTTTTTTTCTTTCCCAGAGTGGTTGGTTGGTGAAAAGAGTCACCAAATACCGAAAAGTGCCAGTGGCATATACTGTGGCAGAGAAGGAGCCAATATATCAGGTTAGGTGTGAATTATATCCTTCTGACAAAAACAAGCACCCTCAGTATTGAATATATGGACCCCTTCAAGTCTTAGTCCCAATCTACTTTTCTAGTCTTCCTCCCCACTCCTCCCTCTCTGCCTCAACCAGACTGAGGCCATGCCTGGGATCAAGCAGGCACTTACTTGATATTGGTGAGGATGCCTGAGGGGCTCAGCTGGTTAAGCGGTTAAGTATCTGCCTTCAGTTCAGGTCATGATCCCAGGTCCTGCGATCGAGCTCCATGTGGGGCTCCCTGCTCAGCAAGGAGCCTACTTCTCCCTGCTCTACCTCGTTTGTGCTGTAAATAAATAAATAAAATCTGTAAGTAAATAAATAAAATTTTTAAAACAAACCAAAAAATAGGTATTTGTTGAAAGAAAGAAAGAAAGAAAGAAAGAAAGAAAGAAAGAAAGAAAAAAAGAGAAAAGAGAGGGGAAAGGAAATGGTCAATGTAATCAAGTCTTAAATGGACTTGTGCTATCTCCCTCTTCTAGGCAATCCTACTCTAAAGAAAAGATCTGCAATCTAAGATTTAAGTGTCATTGAACATGACCAGAAAAAGCTTCTAACTAATGCAGAGCAGTGGTTTTCCGCCCTGGCTGGTATCAGAATCCCTCAGAGAGCTTTTGAAATATAATAATGCCAGGCCCCACCCCCAGAGCATCTGATTCCATTGAACTGGAGGGACACCCTGGTTCTGGTGCTTTACTCCCAGTGTGTGGACAGGATTGCCCATCTCTGGCCCAGGCCAGTCCCCTCAGAGTTCCAGAGAGTTGATGTCACATCTCCATGGCCAGACTCAGCGTCACTGGGTCACTCTAGCCTTTATCAGCACTCAATCTCATGAAATTCTTCCTTTTCTCTTAACTTTCTCAGACTTCAGTTCTTCTCGTTTAACAAATAGTTATTAAGCACCTGCCATGTGCCAGGTGTCAGGTGTACTCCAGTGAGCAGAACAGTCCATATCCTCTCACCTTGACCTCAGCAGGAAGAGCCCTCAAGCCTGGACACCTTTCCCGATTGGGACCAGTCAGTCTCCACTAGTGAATTTCTCAGGACTAGGAGCCCTGCGTTAGTCCTCTTTGGAGCTGCAGAGCCTAGCACATTGCCTGGTATGAAGGCAGATTTGATCCAAGTTGGATGAATGATTCCTAAATCCTCACACATGGAATAAAGAAAACAGAAAAGGGTCAAGAAGATTATTTTCATTCACCTGGACTTTCTCAATTCTACATCATAGAAATCTAGTTTACATTCTCCCAAAGAGGTTATTTATTTGCTTATAAGAGGTAAAGGCAAGTGTACAGAATCTCGGAGCTCAAATCATGTCATTAGGGCTCAATCTCTCTTGGCCGCTCCCAGCTGCCTCAGGCTGTGTCATCTTGGCGTCTTTCCTAATTCAGGGCCTCTCCACGAGACAGGCAAGATGGTCCTCCAGGAGTCCCAGGTCTGTAACCTCTGATTTTAGCAATCCGGGCACGGACTCCAAGGGCCCCAGGTGCACATTCCTGAACCAAACACTCTCTGGCTGAAACATTCCCCCAGTACTCTCTGAGGATCTATCATGTGCCAGGCCCTGTGCAAACAAGCAGGCAGGTTGTCAGCGAACAATTGTATAGATGGAGGGATGGAGGGAAGGTTGGTTGATGGATGGGTGAATGGTTGATAGATGGGTGGATGGTTGATAGATGGATGGTTGTGTGGATGGGTAGATGATGGGTGATGGATGGATGTCACTAGTATCGGAGCCTGAGGCTCCCTTGTTGTCCCCTGTTCTCACCTCTCCACCCCAGTCTATCCCTTCATTTTCCTAAAAGCCTCCTTGACCATGAAGCCATTATAATGATGGTCTCTCTTGGTCCTCAGGCAACAGCTGGTACTTTCCCTCCCTCCCGCCATCCAGCATCCAGCATCCAGCATCCAGCATCCAGCATCCAGCGTCCAGCATCCAGCTGAATCTGGAATCAATACCAGTGAACTGGGTGTGAACGGAAGGAGACTGGCTCATTATTTGCCATTGTTTACTTCTGAGTGTGTGCATTCTCACCGCTTCCCATTCTGTCTCTCCTCTTTCCTTCCCACTTCTTCCCACTGGCTCAGCCACAATACAACCAGCTCATCTGCATTTGGCCCTGGAGGACATACGGACTCAGGGGAGGAGGGCAGAGGCGGCGGACGGGAGCAGCACGGCGGCGGTGACAGCGCACAGCCGGGCCGCGCCGCTGGACGCCCATGCCCGGCCCGAGCCGCCCAGGGATTGCTCATGAGGCCTCTGGCGAGCGGGAGTAGGAAGAACCGCGGCGTATCCCTGGGGCTCCTGGCCCTCTTCCTGGCCGCAGCCCGGTGTCTGCAAAGTAAGCGCGGGGAGGCAGGGAGGCTCGGGGCGCAGCGGGGGCCGGCGGGGGTGGCGCTGGGGGCGGAGAAGTGGCTGTGGGGCTCAGGGGCCCCCCTGCGGGGCGCAGCGGGGAGCGGCGGAGCTCGGCGGGGCTCGGCGGGGCTCCGGAGGGGGGCGGTGCGGACGGACGGGGGCGGCGGAGCAGCCGCTGGGCTCGGGGCGCAGCGGGGGACGGCGGGGTGGCGCGGGGAGTCGCAGCGGAGTTCGGGAGGGGGGGTGGCAGCGGGGAGGCTGGGGGCGCAGCGGAGGCCCGCGGGGCGGCGCGGGGGACAGCGGAGCTGGGGGGGCCGGCAGGGGGCGACCCGGAGGTTCCCGGAGCAGCGTGGCGGGGTTGGGGGGGGCGGTGCGGAGCTGCCGGCTGGTCCCGCGGGTCGCGGCCCCCCGGCCACAGGCCCTAGCCCACCTCGGGGACCCCGGGTGTCAGGGGACGTGCTGCTTCCCCCGGGGCTGGGCGCGTCCTCTAGGGCACCGACCGCAGGCGGAGAGACCCGGCCAAGTGGAGGCTCTCCCGGCCCGGCACCCAGGGCCACCCAGGGCCACCCAGGGCAGGTCCGGCACCGCCCGTCAAGGCGTTATCAGAGCCGGAAGCCGACGGGGAGATAAACCGGCTCCCGGCCCGGTGGCCGTCGCCTCTGCAGTATTTTCTATTTCTTTTTCCTGGAATAACCAGACTTGCCGCTGAGGTGTCCCCGACCCCAAGGGCACACGGGGCCCCGCCCCCTACGGTGGGGGATCCCTCGCCCTCCCGCAGGGTTCCCCGCTTCCCAGGACATTCTGTAGGCCTCTCCCCTTACGCAGAGGAACCACAGCCGACCCTCTTGAAGAAAGGGGGTCTGGGGGGGTTGGGTTTGGTGTTGGGGCCTGAACTCAGGCCGAAGGTGGTCCTCGCTACTGCGCACAGAGTGGCGGGCGTTGGGTGGCTCGGCCCTAGAATCTCCCTAGTGTGATGAGCCTTAATGTAACTCACAGCGGCACAAACTTCCGCCAACACAAACCACAGATCCAAACACAGCTTTCTTTCTCATCTAATCATTAACATCATTGTCATTCCCGTGTTACAGATGAGTCCGCTGAGATTCAGGGTAAGAACTGCGGGGCCGCGGGAGGTGGGAGCACCGACAGTAAGAGCTGGCACTGACTAAGCACGTGTGCGTTCACCATCCCTGGGACTCGACAAGATTTTTATCCCCGAATCCACAAGGCAACCCTCTAAGTGCTACACGATCCCTGTTTCACGAGTGAGGAAACTGAGGCACGCGGAGGTTGTTGCTTGCACAAAGTCCAAACCGGGGCAATCTGGTACTGAACCCTTACTGTGCTCTGACCAGAGCCCAGCTTGGGAAACTCGCAGATTTCAGAAACCTAGAAGGGCTGGGATAGGACACGGACCTCTGGCTGCCTATTGAGCTAGAAATAACCTTGTTAGTCGTTCAGGTCGGTGGGTGTGTTTGGCGTCCTAGTGGCCTTTCCATTGTTTCTCAACCCTCCAAACCTCTGCCAGCCGCCATTCTAACCCAACACCTACAGATGTTGCGGACACTCGGGGACCAGCCCTTTGCCGAGCTCTCACTCATGGCACCGTGTGCCTGGAGGAGGCAGGCCACCGTGGGGAAATTAGTTCACAGCCATGCCCTCAGGTGGGCCAAGGAGTGCAGAATGCAGGATGCTGCTGTCCTTGGTGTTCAGAAACCTAGTGTTTACACATTTTCTTTTCAGCTCTATCTGCATTGACAAGCAGTGATCTTGCTCTTTCCTCTTGACTGCTACCCCTACATCATCACAGAAATATTCTAGTTTGGAGGCGCCTGGGTGGCTCAGTGGTTAAAGCCTCTGCCTTCGGCTCAGGTCATGATCTCAGGGTCCTGGGATGGAGTCCCGCATCAGGGTCTCTGCTCAGCAGGGAGCCTGCCTCCTCCTCCTCTCTCTCTGCCTGCCTCTTTGTCTACTTGTGATCTGTCCAAAAAAAAAAAAAAAAAAATCTTAAAAAAAAAAAAAGAGAAATATTCTAGTTTGTACTTCGCCAGCCCTGTCCGGATGGACATTGAAATTTTCCGCGTTTAGCCCTCACGCAGGTGAAAGCAGCCCCGTCTGGCAGAATGGCAGGTTCAGTGCTAGCGAGAGGAGCGTCAGGACAGGGAAGGCTGGGGCCGCCCCCAGGATGACAGGGTAGCCCCAGGCCAAACACTTCCTTTCCACAGGGATAGTGCTCGGAAAAATGCTTGGAGGAGTAAATGAAGGATTGAGGGAGGGGTAAGGACTTTCAACCAGAAAGTCATCCAGATTTCTCCATTTCTGATCTCCACAGGAGATCTGAGGAACTCCGTGCTGGTCTGGGAGGAGGCCGCAGTCAGGAGATGTCCCCTTTCTCCATTATCACCAAGACCTGAGGACGCCTCTATATTTCATTCCCTGTAAGACTTTTCCCTTTAACATTTATGTATTTGTCCGAGAATAATTGGCATACAATGTTACAGTACCTTAAAGTGTATGCCATATTGATCTGATAATTCCATACATTACCCAGTGCTAATCACAGTAAGTGTAGTCATCATGGGTCACCAACAACATTATTCAAAAATGATTGACTGGGAACTCCTGGGGGGCTCCTTCGAATAAGCGTCCAACTCTTGATTTCCGCTCAGGTCATAATCTCAGGGTCATGAGATTGAGCTACTTGGGTTGCTTCCATATCTTTGCTGTTGTAAATGATGCTGCAGTAAACATAAGGGTACATATATCTTTTCAAATTAGTGTCTTTGTTTTCTTTGGGTAAATATCCAGCAGTGGAATTACTGAGTCATGTAATATTTCTATTTTTAATTTTTTTGAGGAACCGCCATATTGTTTTCCACAGTGGCTACACCAATTCACATTCCCACCAATGGTGCATGAGGGTTCCCTTTTCTGCACATTCTCACCAACACTTGTTATTTCTTGTCGTTCTGATACTAGACATTCTTACTTGTGCAAAGTGATATCTCACGTGGTTTTGATTTGCAGTTCCCTAATGATTAGTGATGTTGAGCATCTTTCCATGTGTCTGTTGGCCATCTGAATGTCGTCTTTGGAAAAGTGGCTATTCAGATCTGTTCAGATCTGAACACATTTCAGGCTCTTTGTTTTTTTTGGTGTTGAATTGTGTAAGTTCTTTATATATTTTGAATATTAACTCCTTATTGGTTATATCATTTGCAAATATCTTCAATAGGTTGCCTTTTTGTTTTGATGGTTTCCTTTGCTGTGCAAAAGCTTTTTATTTTGGTGTAGTCCTCCTCCTTTGTTTTGCTTTTGTTCCTGTTGTCTGAGGAGACATATCTAGAAAAATGTTGCTAAGGCTAATGTCAAGGAGATTAGTACCTCTGTTTTCTTTTCTTTTTTAAAAGGATTTTATTTATTCATTTGTCAGAGAGAGAGGGATCACAAGAAAGGGGAGCAGCAGGCAGAGGGAGAAGCAAGGATCCCAACCTGGGACTCCATCCCAGGGCTCTGAGATCATGACCTGAGCCAAAGGCAGATGCTTAATCGACTAAGTTACCCAGGTGTCCCCAGCCTCTATTTTCTTTGGTTTTATGGTTTCAGGTTTCACAAGTAAGTCTTTAATCCATTTCAGTTAATTTTTGTGTATGATTAAACGGGTGGTCCAGTTTTATTCTTTTGTGTATAGCTGTCCAGTTTTCCCAACACCATTTATTGAAAAGACTGTCTTCTTTCCATTGTACATTCTTGCCTCGTTTATTATAAGTTAATTGACCATATAATCATGTATTTCTTTCTGGTCTTTGTGTTCTGTTCTACTGATCTATGTTTCTGTTTCTGTGCTAGTACCTTACTGTTTTGTAGTATATCTTGAAATCCAGGATTGTGATACCTTCCACTTTGTTCTCTCGGGTGGCTATTTGGGGTCTTTGTGGTTCGATACAAATTTTAGGAGCAATTATTCTAATTCTGTGAAAAATGCTCTTGGCATTTTGATAGGGATTGCATTGAATCTGTAGATTGCTTTGGGTAATATGGACATTCTAATGCTATGAATTCTTCCCATGATGGTATATCTTTCCATTTGTTTGTGTAGTTCTCAATTTTTTTCATCAGTGTCTCATAGTTTTCAGGGTATAGGTCTTTCAGCTCCTTGGTTAAATTTATTCGCAGGTATTTTGTTCTTGTTGGTGCTGCTACAAATGGAACTGTTTTCATAGTTTCTCTTTCTGCTACTTCATTATTACTGTATAGAAATGCAACAGATTTTTGTATATTAATTTGTATTCTGCAACTTTACTGAGTTCATTTATCAGTTCAAATGGTTTTTTGGTGGAGTCTTTAGGAGTTTCTATATATAATATTATGTCATCTGCGAAGAGTGACCATTTTACTTCTTCCTTACCAGTATGGATCCCTTTAATTCTTTGTCTTGTCTGCTTGCTGTAGCTAGGATTTCCAGTACATTGAATCAGAGCAGTGAGAGTAGATATCCTTGTCTTGTTCTTGATCTTAGAGGAAACACTTTCAGTTTTTCACCATTGAGCATGATGTAAGCTGTGGATTTTAGGAATGGTCTTTATTATGTTGAGGTATATTCCCTCTAATCCCACTTTGTTGTGGTTTTCATCATGAACAGATATCACACTTTGTCTAGTGCCTTTTCTGCATCTATTGAGATAATCATGTGATTTTTATCCTTCCTCTTGTTAATATGATGTATCACCTTGAATGACTCGCAGATATTAAACTGCTCTTGCATCCTTGGCTTAATCCCACTTAATTGTGGTGACTGACTTTTTTACCATAGGATCGAATTCTTTTTTTTTTTTTTTTTTTTTTTTTTAGATTTTATTTATTTATTTGACAGAGCAAGAGCGCACAGGCAGGGGGAGCAGTAGAAGGAAAGGAATAAGCAGGCTCCCCACCGAGCAGGGAGCCAGACACAGGACTCGATCCCAGGTCCCCAGGACCATGACCTGA